CAGGGAACCCCTTTTCCCCCCCCCCCCCCATCCTTTTTGGCTATGATATATCAATATATAATGATGTATTCTAGATAAGGTCTTACATTAGATAAGTTTATTACATTAGCATGTGTATGCAAAAAACATAATAATACAGCATATATACGAAGATGCAAGTTTGTAATCTGAATCAAACAGACAACCACCTCCATTTTTAAAGTTAAATTTCCGAGCGTCTTCAGAGTCTACAGTGAAGCACCTGATAAGTCTTATTTCTTCTGACAATTTAAGAACTGATTTGAAAATGTCGGCCGATTTTTTTAATACCTCTCTTAAACTTTATGTACAACTTCCAAGTAGCGGTTGCAGAAATTTAGAATAGTGGTCGGCTGGTTGTCATAATAAAAAACAAGGAAAAGAGTATTGATAACCATCTTACTATAAAGTCCAAAGTTTTTCGAGAAAGACTGAGCTATCAAGAATTCAAAGCCTTCAGAATCTAAATGTCTCAATGGAAAAGCATCAGTATCAACATCACCACTGACTAGACCTTGGTATGTACAATCCATTAGCGGCATCAACTGTTTTCTCTGAAATAGAGAACATATACCAAATACAGATGTAGGTCCTTGTATCTATTTTTCGGATTCATAAAAATGCTCGTGTTTCTGACATTGGATTGCTAACAACTAAAGATTGAGATCTAACGCCGTAATCTTGCCAGTATTGTGGTCATGGTCCCCACCCCTCCACCCCAGCGGCTGTTAAGCCCTTTAATCGCTCAAAATGCATATCAGAATTCATCTGAAATTCGTTGGCTTCTGGGGGCCTCTGTCAGCCTTTGAGACACACCTCTAATTTTTGCACCCCTTTACCTTTATATTTTAGATACGACCCGAGTCGTGTGTTAATGTTACAGATAATATAAACGCCCTAGTTCGTCTCAATAATCGCCAAAAACTTTTCGGAAGTGTGCAAATGGTACTGGAAATGTTGGTAGATAATTATGAAAACATTGGTGTAAATTGTATGGGTTGTATTCCAGTAGAAGTAACAGTTCATTCAATTTTTAAGATGTTCCCACCTTACAAATTCTGAATATTTCTTTCCATTGTTCTTCAGTTGGATCGTTGGCTGTTGTGTTATGAGCACATGTATGGAATATAACAACAGATTTCTCGGTGGCATTCTGAAAAAGAAAATAGACATTAGAATATTGCTATTACACACATGTTGAAGATGTAAGACAGACACTCAGTGGCGAAGCCAGTTTTGCGTTCGGGAGCCGGCGAATTTCTAACCTAGTTATAAGATTTTTGCCCGAAAAACTTGCTTTCGGGGCTACGAGGGGGGAGAGGGAGGGGGTAGTAATATGAAAAAAAAAGAATAAGTTGTAAAAATTGAGGTGGGCAATTGCTACTTGTCATTTCTTTGGTGAACACCTGTCCGGTGATCATAGTCTACTGAGCAACTTTCCTACGCTCAGAATTATTATATTATTGTCAATAATCTCGTAATGTGAGAGACTTTCAAATTAGAAGAGATTAATAGCCTGAAAGTTAATTTCTAAACATTCTTATATGAAAAACATGATTAAGCATGACGACTCATACGCGTCCGTATATTACCTTTAAATCGTCTGTTAAACCTTGAAAATCTAAGCCTTTAGTGATGGGATCCCAATAACTATATTCATGTATCTGTGAATAGCCTGTCGCTTGAAATATACCTACATGATTATCTGAAAAAGCCATATTTGAGTAAGAAACTTGCTGACTTAAGTTGTTTGCTTTTTTAACATATGCTTTTCTTGGGGTGGGGGCCCGTTCAACCAGTCCTGTTGTTATTTGAGCCACTGATGTCTCGTTAATTAAGACTGCAGATTGATGTATATTAATCACTTTATTGAACTGTACCTTTAAATCGTACCTTAGTCTCAGAAACGGGATATTTTGTTAGCTAAGAGATTAGGGTGATTGAAGAGTAACCAGTTACTATTCAATATAAGGCACTGGCACAGGGTTAAAGTTATGTTACAATAATG